AACTATTTCATGCTCTTATCTTAATGTATGGTATGAGATGTTGGTCTATAAACCTAATTTCTGCCATACTGTTTTTAAGTTTTCCCGTCAGTTTTTGTCGAATGATGAGTTTTTGTTCCAAAAGCTTGGATTTTGGGGTTTATTATATACTAGATTACTACATCTTTTTAATACAATGTAACTTGTACTTAATCTATTCCACTGATTAGCTACTCTGTTTCTTAGCCAGTACCAGTTTGTTTCAATTATTATAGCTTTGTAATAAAGTTTGAGATCTGGTATAGCTAGATCACCTTCTTTTGCATTTTTTTTATTTGGTACCCTTGATATCCTTGAGCATTTGTTCTTCCAGAAGAATTTTGTTATTATTTTTTCTGTCTCTTTAAGTTTTTTGATACTTTAATTAGTGTGGCATTCAATAAATACATTAATTTAGGGAGAATGGTCATTTTTATTATATTGGCTCAGCCTATCCCATGAGAAATTAATATTTTTCCAATTGTTCAGATCTGACTTCATCTGTGTGAAAAGTGTTTTATAGTTGTTGTTGTTTTTTTTTTTTTAATATGGTTCTTGGGTTTGCTTTGGCAGGTAGACTGTTTATATAGTTTATATAGTCTACAGTTATTTTAAATGGAATTTCTCTTTCTATCTCTTGCTGCTGGGCTTTGTTTGTAATATATAAAAATACTTACGATTTATGTGGGTTTGTTTTGTATCCTGCAACTGTAGTAAAGTCATTAATAATTTCAAGTAGTTTTTAGTTGATTTTCTAGGATTTTTAAAGGATAACATCATATTATCTGCAAAGAGTGATAATTTTGTTTCCTCATTGCCTATTCTAATTACTCTAATTTCTTTTTCTTCTCTTATTGCTATACCAAACATTTCTAGTACAATATTAAATAATAGAGGTGATAATGGGCATTCCTGCTTCCACCCTGATTATATCTGGAAGGTTTCTAGTTTATCCTCATTGCAGCTAATGCTTGCTGATGGTTTTAGATAAATGTTATTTATCATTTAGAGTAAGCTGCGTTTATTCCTATGCTGTCTAGTATTTTTAAGAGGAATTGGTGTTGTATTTCATCAAAGGCTTTTTCTGCATCTATGAGATAATCATATGATTTCTGTTGGTTTTTATTATTGATATGGTAAATTACGCTGATAGTTTTCCTAATATTGAACCACCTCTACATTCCTGGTACAAATCCCACCTGGTCATTGTGTATAATTCTTGTGATATATTGCTGTAATTGCTTTGCTAGTATCTGATTTAAAATTTTTGCATCAATATTCATTATGGAAATTGGTCTATAATTTTTATTTTGGCTCTTCCTGGTTTAGGTATCAGCACCATGAAAGGAATAGAAGGGATTTGTTAAGGCTACTTCTTTGCCTATTTTCCCAAATAGTTTATACAGTATTTGGGATTAATCATTCTTTAGATGTTTGGTTGAATTCACTTGTGAATCCATCTGGTCCTGGGGATTTTTTCTTAGAAAGTTCATTGATGGCTTATTCTATTTCTTTTTCTAAGATTAGGTTAGGTATTTTATTTCTTTTTCTGTTAATCTGGGCAATTTATATTTTTGTAGGTATTCATCCATTTCATTTGGATTGTCAAATTTATTGGCATATAATTCGGCAAAATACCTTCTAACAATTGCCTTAATTTCCTCTTCATTGGTGGTGAATGCACCCCTTCCATTTTAATACTGGTAGTTTGGTTCTCTTCTTTCCTTTTTTTTTAAAAATCAAATCAACCAATGATTTATCCATTTTATTGGCTTTTCCAAAGAAACAGCTTCTATTTTTATTTATTAGTTCATTCTTTTTCGTACTTTGATTTTCAGGATTTCCAATTTGGTGTTTGGGGATTTTTAATTTGTTCTTTTTCTAGTTTTTTTTTTAAGTTGCATGCCCAATACACTGATCTGCTTTTTTTCTATTTTATTGATATAAGCAATTAGAAATATAAATTTTCTACTAAGTACTATTTTGGCTGCATCGCATAAATTTTGGTATGCTGTCTCATTGTCATCATTTTCTTTAATGAAACTATCACTTGTTTCTATTATTCGTTCTTTGAGCCACTTATTTTTTAGAATTATTTCCAAATTAATTTTAATCTCTCTTTCCATTGTCAATTACTGAATGTAATTTTTATTGCACTATAATTTGAAAGGATTGTATTTATTATTTCTGCTTATATGCATTTGGTTTTGAGGTTTTAATGTCCTAATACATGGTCAATTTTTGTGTATATGTCATGTTCTGCTGAGAAAAAGACATAGTCCTTTCTATTCCCATTCAATTTTCTCCAGAAATCTATCATGTCTAACTTTTCCAGAACTTTATTCAACTCCTTAACTTTTTTTCTTGCTTATTTTTTGGTTAAGATGAGGTACCCCACTAGTATAATTTTATTATCTGTTTCCTCCTATAACTCATTCAACTTCTTCAAAAATTTGGATGCTATTCCATTGGGTGCATATATGTTTAGTATTGATATGACATCATTGTCCATGGTATCTTTCAGCAAGATATAGTTTCCTTCCTTATCTCTTTTAATTAAATCCATTTTTGTTTTTGCTTTGCCTGAGATCATGATTGCTACCCCTGCATTCTTTGTTTCACCTGAAGCATAATAAATTCTGCTCCAGCCCTTTACCTTTACCCTGTGTGTATCTCTCTGCTTCAAATGTGTTTCTTGTAAACAACATTTTGTAGGATTCTGGCTTTTAATCTATTCTGCTATCCACTTCCACCTTATGGGTATTTATCTCATTCACATTTATACTTATGACAATTGTGTATTTCCGTCCATGCTATTTTTCCCTTGTTTATCCCCTTTTCTCCCTCCCCACCCTTTCCCTCCTCACAAGTTTTTTACTTTTGATTACCACCTTCACCAATCTACCCTCCCTTTTATCAGTTCCCCTTACCCTCTTTATTAGCCCCATCCCTTTTTACATCCCTATTGAGTAAGATAGACTTTTATATCCAATTGTGTGTGTATGATATTCCTTCTTTGAGCCAATTTGATGAGAGTAACTTCACAGAACAAATCCCCTTAATAAAAGGATTTACTCTGTAAAGTTTGAATTCAGTCAAAGGGCCACAGTAGAAGACCTAGAGCGCCACATGTGGCCATGAGGCTTCAGACTCCCCACCTCTGGTTAAACTTTACCCACCACCAGCACCTCACTTCCCCTCCATTATAGTAACTCTTTCATGGCTCTTTTATGTAGGATAATTTACCCCATTCAATCTCCCCCCTCCTTCTCTTCCAGTGCAATTTCCTTTCTCACCCCTTTATTCTTTTGGGGGGTATCATCCCATTAAAGTCATCTTATATCTGTTTATATATACATCTGTCTATATATACTCCTTCTAATTGATCTTTTAGTAATAAAGTTCTTAAGAGTTGCAAATATTATTTTGTCATACAGAAGTATAAAGTTTAACCTTATTGAATTTCTTAATGTTTTCTCTTGTTTATTTTTTACCTTTTTATATTTGTCTTGAGTCTTGTATTTGAAGGTAATTTTTTTTATTCAGCTCTGGTCTTTTAATTAGGAATGCTTAGTCTTCTATTTTGTTAAATATACATTTTTTCTCTCAAAGATTTTATTCGATTTTGCTGGGTAGATGATTCTTGGTTGTAATCCTAACTTTTTTTGCTTTCTGGCATACATATTCCAACCCCTCTGGTTCTTTAATGTGGAAGCTGCCAAAACCTGTGTAATCCTGACAATAGCTCCATGATTTTTGAATTGTTTCCTTTTGGCTGCTTTCAGTACTTTCTCCTTGATATGTGAGCTCTGAAATTTGGCTATGATGTTCCTGGGAGTTTTCATTTTGGGATCTCTTTCAGGTGGTGTTTGGTGGATTCTTTCAATTTCTATTTTGTCCTCTGGTTCTAATATATCAGGGCAGTTGTCTTTGGTAATTTCTTGAAAGATTTTTTTTTATCATGGCTTTCTGGTAGTCCAATAATTTTTATATAATCTGTCCTAAATCTATTTTCTAGGTCAGTTGTTTTTCCAATGGGAAATTTCAGAGATTTTCTTCTGTTTTTTTTTTTTGCTTTTGTTTTATTGTACCTTGATATCTCATAGAGTCATTAACTTCCACTTACTCAATTCTAATTTTTAAGGAATTATTTTCTTTGATGAGTTTTTTGTATTTCCTTTTCCATTTGGCCAATTCTATATTTTAGGGAGTTTTTTCATTGGAAATTTAAAAAAATATATATTTTCCCATGCTATTGACTTTTTTCCACTAGTTTCTTGCATTACTCTCATTTCTTTTCCCAATTTTCTTCTACTTTTCTAATTTGCCTTTTAAAATCCTTTTTTAAGCTCTTCCAGGAATTCTTCTTGGACCTGAGACCAAATTACATTTTTCTTTGAGGCTCCACATGTAGCCATTTTGAAATTATTGTGCTCTTCTAACTTCATGCCTTGATTCTCCTTGTCACCATAGTAACTTTCTGAAGTCAAATTAGTTTTTTTTTGTTTGGGTTTTTTTGCTAACTTTTTTCTGCCTTTTTTGTTGGTGTTTTCATGTAAGAATTGTTCTCTGGTCCTGTTCCAAGCTTTTTGTGTTAGGGCTCAGGGTCTTACTGTTGACTTTTACTGGACTTCAGGGCTTAGCTGGTCCTGGTTTGTACTGGGGGGTGGAGTCTCCTTGTTGGCCTCCCTTTGGTGTGGTGCTTAGAGGCTGGGTTGCTATGTTAACAGAATCTTTTTGGCAGCTGGGCATGGAGGAGGTATCTTGTTCTTGGTCTGCCCCAGGGGTGGGGCCCTGCTGCTTGGTTGCTATGGAAACAGGGTTTCTCTGTAGGCAGACTCTAGGGGCAGGGTCTCACTGTTGCCTAGCCCTGGGGCAGGGCTTCATTACTGGTCAGCAGTTGGGTCAAAGCCTTGCTGGTGGCTAGTGCTGGGGGTGGGATCCCTGGGGTGGGACCTTGTTGTGCTGAACAGACTGCTCACTTGCCTAGAGGGTTGCTGGTTTGAAGGAGTGGGCCTCACTGGTGGAATGCCCCAGGCTTGAAGCCTTGCTTCAGGCCCCCTGCTATGAGGCTGGCTGCTGCTGCTGCTCTTGGACCTTGCTCCTTTCCTACGTCAGCGAGAGAGACCTTTCCTGCCATGCTGGTAATCTGCTTCCATGCTCCTAGATCAATTCTGAGGTGATTTTCTGGTTGTTTGGAGGGAAATTTTGTAGGGATTCAGAGGTTTCCTTTCTCACTCCACCATCTTGGCACCGGTAGTGAAGTATTCTTTTCTATACAACCCTCCATGGTCAATCAGTTTCCACTTCAACATGTCCAGTGACTAAGGATATCATTACCTCACCAGGCAGCTCTTGCAATTGGCTGACATTTCTAATTTTTAATAACAATACCAATAAGAATAATAATAACCTTACTAATAATTATGACATTAAACATTGCTACTAATAATGATATTAAATTTGATAATAGCAATAACACAAGACCAAACATCTTTAGTCTCATTTGATTCTTATTTATAACTCTTGTGAGGTATTGCTATGACAAAGCACATGTTGACCCAACCTATTTACATAACTGGAAGCCTAGTCATTGGTGTATCCTAAGCAAATCTTTGTTTATTTATAGCATTCCTCCTATCTTTTCTCTGGAGATGAAAAGAGATTGTTAAATTGCCTTTAATTGGTAATTAGCAGCTTTCTGCCAAAAGCCCAAGGCACTGGATTAACTGGACTATGGTCTTCATTGGAAAGAAATCATTTACTAAGCACTGAATTGTGCATGATACTATTTTAGGCAGGTTAGACAAAGAATACCTCATTTGAGTGTCATTTAGAACAAGGGATGCTTATCCCACTGAGGAGAAGAATGGGTTGAGAAGATCGAAAGCTTTTTTTTTTTTAAATATTTGAAGTATTGTCACATGGAAGAGAGAGCAGCCTTATTCAGCATGGATTCTGAGTGCACAACTAGGATTAAGAGGTGGAAAATTTATAGGCAAGTAGACACAAACTCAATATATAACAAATGGCTTAGGAAAGGGAGCTAGGTGGTACAATGGATAGAATTTTGGAGTTGGAATCAGGAAGACCTGATTCAAATCCTGCCTGAAGCATTTACTATGTGGTCCTGGAAATATATTTAATCCCTGCCAACCTCAGTTTCTTTATCTATACAATGAGAATAATAATAGCACCTATTTCCCAGAGTTTTTGTAAGGAAAATATGAGATATTTGTAAGATGCTCTAAAAAAACTTAAGGTGCTATATGAATGCTAGTATTTTTTCATTAGTATTACTTACCTTATTATCATTAGCATTATCATGGCACAAAATAAAGTTGAGGTGCTAGACTTTCTGAGGAGCAAGTAGTAACTTGCACTCCAAAGAATAATGTTGTGAATCTGCAGATGGCATTGGGAAAAGGATCAACCAGTAAGAGTGAGAGGAAAAAGTGATGAGCAGGTAGGTTTGGTGATTTCCTTCTGATTGTGTTGAAATAGTCTTTTGTTGATCTAACAGTAATAACGGAGAGGTCTGATCTCTTTCTGGGGAATCCAGAATGTGGGAGAAAGATACCTAAGACTTGTCAAATCTTACTACCACTACTCATTCTCAGTAATTCTTATAAGGAGAAATAGTTTTGGAAAGAATCTACCGAATATTGCTAAGGTTATGAAGGCCTTAGTAAAAATTGAAGACATTAAGGGAATATGTTTTTTTCTCTCTCTGCTATTAATTGAAGGCAGCAACCTCACGCAGGAAAGTTAGCTTGTGTCTATTAAAAAGACTGTCTCTGACAACAGGATGTAGATATACAAATCACTGCTTAAAATATAGGATGGGCTCTTGAGCAATGATATAATACACCTTACAAGGACTAGCCTAAAAGGCAGATGCTGAAATCATTCCCATTTTGCATGTGAGGAAACTGAAGCTAACTGATTGAGTGACTTGCCCAGGGTGACACAGCTAGGAAATACATGAGGCAGCATTAGGTCTTCCTATCTCTCAGTCCAGTTTTTTATCCACTACACCTTCTATATGAAAATCCACAAAAGGAAACAAGCAAATCTAGCCTGTAGAAGAAATGTAAGGGAGACATGATAGTTGCTATTTGAAGGGCTATTATATGAAAATGGGATTAGGTTTATTTTTTTAAAGCAGGATAATATTAATTAATTTTTTTTATTTTTAGCTTTCAACATTCACTTTTGTAAGATTTTGAGTTCTAAATTCCCCACCCCCCACTTTCCCAAGATGGCATGCAATCTGATATAGGCTATACACATATAATAATATTAAATATATAGTCATGTTGTGAAAGAAGGATCAGAACAAAAGGGAAAAACCAGGAGGAAGAAAAAAAGAAAATTTAAAAAAAGAGAAAATAGTATGCTTCAATCTGCATGCAGACTCCGTAGCTCTTTCTCTGGATGTGGATAGCATTTTCCATTATGAATCTTTCGGAGTTGTTTTAGAGCATTGTATAGACGAAAAGAGCTAAGTCTAACAAAGCTAGTCATTGCACAATGTTGCTGTTACTGTGTACAATGTTCTCCTGGTTCTGCTCATTTCACACAGCATCAGTTCATGCAAATCTTTCCAGATTTTTCTGAAATCTGCCTGATCACTATTTCTTATGGAAAAATAATATTCTATTACATTCATATACTATAATTTGTTCAGCCATTCCCCAATTGATGGACATCCCCTCAATTTCTAATTCTTGGCCACCACAAAAAGAGATAGCTTTAAATATTTTTGTACACATGGGTCCTTTTCCCTTTCGTATGATCTCTTTGGGATACAGACCCAATAGTGGTATAACTAGATTAAAAGGCATGCACAGCTCTATAGCCCATTGGGCATAGTTCCAAATTGCTCTCCAGAATAGTGGGATCAGTTAACAACTCCACCAATAATGCATTAGTGTTCCAATTTTCCCACATCTTCTCTGCAACATTTATCATTTTCCTGTTTTGTCCCAGAAAAAAAAAAACTTTCTAACAATTAGAATTATTTAAAAATGGAGTGATTGCCATTTGAGGCAATATGTACCTGTTACCAGAGGTCTTCAAGCTAAAGGTGGGGTGAGGAGGGGATCATAGAGAATATTTTAGATAGTGATTCAATGTGATGGCCTTCCAACACAGATCCTATAATTCAATGTATTTGTTTGGTGATCATTTGAATGATAAGTCCCTAAACTACTCAGTCTCAGTTTCATCATTTATAAAATGGGGATAATGATACATTCTCAATCTCATGACCTTATCCTGTGTAAAACTGAAAACTTTAATTTACTGTATTAATACTATGGATAGAAACAACAACAACAAGAATGATGATAATAACCAATGACCAATAATGGAAATATGTCATTGTGACATTTGGTATTATTTTTCACGTTCCTCTGTATAGGATTATCTCTGGATGAATTTTGTTGTTACCTATCTTTTCAGGAGTCTCTTTCCCAACTCTTCTGTCTTCCAATCTCCCCAGGTCTCAGAATCTTTAATTCTGCAGCCCCATTCAGTGAGTCAGTCAATGAGTCAATGAGCATTTATTAAATGTCTATTATGTGCCAAACATATGCTAAACTTGAATTACAAAGAGAGTCAAAAACATGTTCCCTGTCCTCAAAGAACTTACTTTCCAATTGTTAGCTGAGGTTAACCGGAAAGAAGAATAAATTTGGCCAAGACAATTAATATTCTCAGCCTTTGTCTAGTCTTAAATATGTGCTTTTATGATTACTTTCATGGAACCAGGGATTTGGACTAGGTGATCTCTCATGTCCCTTCAAGAGATATAGGTGGCTCAGTGGACAGAATACTGACCCTGGAATCAGGAAGGTCATATTAGTTGTTTCAGTCTTGTCTAACTCTCTAGGACCCCATTTGGGGTTTTTTTGGCAAAGATACTAAAGTGGTTTACCACTTTCTTCTCCAGATCATTTTACAGAGGAGGAAACTGAGGCCAACAAGGTTAAGTGACTTGCCCAGGGTCACACAGCTACTAATTGTCTGAGGCTAGATTTGAACTCAGGGAGATGAGTTTTCCTGATTTCAGGCCCAGCACTCTAGCCACTATGCCACCTAGCTGCCCCTGGATCAGGAAGACCTGAGTTCAAATATGATGTCAGAAATTAGCTACCTGACTCTCAGCAAGTCACTTACCTTCTGTCTGCCTCAGTTTCCTCAACTATAAAGTGAAGAAAATAATAACACCTACCTCCTAGGAATTTTGGGAGTCTCAAATGAGATAATATTTGTAAAGTACTTAGCACAGGACCTAGCACATAGTAGCTCTTTAATAAATGTTTGTTTCTTTCCTTTCTAGAAACTTCTGAACGTTTTGCCTTCTCAAAAGCTTCCCTCACCCTAAACCCCTTCAAAATAAAATTGTACTGTGTCCTATTTCCTCTCAGCTATCTGTGCCACAGAAAATAATCTAATATTCTAATTCCTGCTTACGTCATTAATCATTTATAATCAATGCGTTAATCCTCTAGGACACAAGTAGTCCCCAACCAATGAACAGTTTTTGTTCCAGAAGTTTATTTGTTGGTTGCTTGGAATTCAGAATTCATTTCCCCATAGAAACAGCATTATAAATATTGGTTAGGTTCCCAGATCGGCCCATAAAACCTAGATAATAATGGAACTGTAATCTTCTACACTCACAATCAGGAGATACACACATACACCAGCACACACACATACATATACACATATATACATGAGCGTCTCTATAGATATGTATATATGTGTACATATACATATGTACAAACACAGATGTCCATGTCCATGTATACCTCTTCCCTTATAAAATACATAATATTTTACATATATGAGTGTGTGTGTGTGTGTGTGTGTGTGTGTGTGTGTGTGTGTGTGAGAGAGAGAGAGAGAGTGAAAATGGGAGGCCATTAGGTAGCTCAGTGGATAAAGTGCTGGGACTGGAGTTAGGAAGACGTGAGTTCAAATCTGACCTCAGACACTTACTAGCTGTGTGACCCTGGGCGAGTCACTAAACCTCTGTTTGCTTTAATCCACTGGAGGAGGAAATGGCAAATCACTCCAGTATCTTTACCAGAAAATTGTATGGATTGTATCGGCATGCTATGGTCCACAGAGTCATAAAGAGTTGGACGTGACTGAAGCACTCAACAA